GTCTGCAACAGACTGCACTCTGAGTAGCGTCGATCTCTGAAAGCCTGCACATCTCAGCAGTCAATTCTGTGAGCTCGAGGGATAACGCTCACAGAACGCAGCACCCCATATCAATGAATTCAGAACCTCTGTCATAGACTGCGCAGACACTCCGGTGGGAGACGCATTTGTCGCAGGCGCGCGCAAAATGTGACGCCGCGTGCATTTCATCCACAAGCATTACTCTTCGTCAGAGTTTATATACGCATCAGCCTCGGTAGCTCAGTCGGTAGAGCGCGTGCCTTTTAAGCCCGTGGTCGTGGGTTCGAGCCCCGCCCGAGGTGTTCCTGTCCTTCTATACCCTCCAAGTATAAGTGATAGGTTCAGCACCTGCTCAGCAAGTTCCAATGGAACCCTATTGTCATGACCGCTACATGATATGAGACTCAGGAAGCACTTCAGTACAATTGAGTGCGTTGGAGAGCAACGAGTTTCGCAACAACAATGTTCTATCAGCAACATAAGTGACCGGAGCATCGAATCCCATAATCTGCTCCACAAGAGTCTAGAAGCGTGCGCCTATACCACTGGTATGGCAAAAACCCATGGTACAGAAATAGCACACTACCGCACCTAGTCTGTACCGTATTGCTGCCCGTCTCTGGCATTATCCAATCATTTAGTTGGGTGACAAATCGTCGACCCCCCCCCCATCATACTTCATGGGACTGCCAGTTTAAATGTCGGGCTCGAAGATTTCCCTTCTCGCTGAGTGCATCGCACCGTTCATCACTGCGCTATTACCCGGTATAGACGGAGAATCAGGGAGTTGCTATAGAAGCGAAATCGCGCGCGTTGTCTCTTGTTTAGCAGCTCCTTCGTGGCGCGCCGCAGGCTTAACTTCGAAAGACCATTGCCACTTCAACTCGGTTCGTCGGATCGTAACTCATTCCGTAACATTCTTCACGGAACAATGCTTTCACTAGATCGACATCATTCGTATTCCGAGCTTCTGATGGGATGGTTTTGTACACATTCCTCCCCATTCGCAGAGGGCACGCTCTGAACAGGGCAACGGACGCTGCTCGTCTGCCTTGGTGAGGGCCTTGAAATATGAGCACTGGAGCTACTATGTCATTACTCCCTCTGGAGAGTATCACCAATGCTGCGGATGTGAAATTAATAGTATTAATACCGTGTCTCGCCTCACGAAAGGCCGATACCATTTTACGTTATTTGTTCACCAAAATATACTAATGTAAGTGCCTTGTAGCGGTGTTTGTTAAATTAGTGCAAACTCTGTGAAGTGTTCAGTATTCCGTCTATGTTACGAGGGTTGGTGAATGTCCTCTTGTTCGGGTTGCTCAGTGTGCTTGTGTGCGTCCAAGGCCGTCGTCGGCTTCGTTAGACTTGGTGCCGATGTGCTAGCCACTTGCTGAGCTCTTGCGTTATTCAGTTAGCCCGAATGCTGCCAGAGTGGGCACAGGAGTTCACATACCATCTCATTCTCTCCTGGTAGAATCCACGTGGGACCCTTCTGAAAGGATTGATTTTTTCAAGCGAGATCCTCAGGAGACCAGTGTGAATTCTCAACCGTTGGGATATGATGACTGTTAACAAATAAGATGAAATTTAATCTTGTAAAACATCATAAGATGGCATGCTGCGCTACACGGGAGGAGGTGAACTTCGGGCGGTGGGCCCTGGCGTAATGAACTGGTCCAATCTGAACGAACAAGATGTTCACCACTCCATAAGCACGTACTTACCTCTGTGCTGCTGTCATGCCCGGGGTACTCACCGTCACTATACTATGACGAGCACTAGGGACTTCATGCTGGTGCTCCGGAGGTCCCTGACACCCACGCTCCAAAAAATACTTCATCATAAAAACGCGATCAAACTCCTCCCCTCTAACCTTGACAGTTGTTGCTGGTACTTTGCTGGTAGTAGAAAATTCCATTCCAATGGATGAGGGAAGCCTTGGTGGCAAACCGCGCTCGGCCTCAGAGACAACTTCCTGAGCAGAACCGCATGAGAACAACATGTTCACTGAGCTTGACCTACCGTAATTGGACGAGCGCACATCAAATTCTTTGGTATTAATCCTTTGCTACCGTCCAGGAAAGTATACTAAAGCAACAAATAGCAACTTCCCAGCGCGAACGACCCCTACTTTCGGATTCTGAGGATCCAATTTTCGTCGAGTGACGATTCCCTTGACGAGAGAGTTCACCTGCGCTCCCGGAATATCGTTTGTGCCTGACCACGACCAGCATTGCCGACTGACAAGCGGCGAAGGTGTTTACTGTGGAAGTCGGGCCTCCCCTTGAGAGGTTCTCCATATATATTAAATGGGATGCTGCCGACATATCTGAGCGCTAAACAGTATGAGAAAATATGCATTTGGTCAAGCACATATGTTAGTGACATTGTGGAACTTCTGAGAAAATTCCGGGATGTTCTCAATAATTCCTGTATATTTCCACTCGGATCTATATATGTGATTAAACTCCTAAGCTCAGGTGAGGAAAGTGAGCACATATTCCAACACTGGCGCCGCCAAAATTCTCGCAAATTTTCGATCTACGCCCTGCCATACCTCTGACTAGAAGTCCCGGCTATATCTTCTTTCAACAGACTGAACAGCGGTTCGCCATTATCCCATTGCAACTTCCGAGGCTTCGAAAGCGGCACTTGACCGATGACCTGAAATTCTTCTACCATAAAAATTTCAAATCAAGCCCACTCACCATTGGTTCCATTTTCGGTTTCTCTACTTTTCCGATTTCCTCTGCCCCTACACCACGGCTTACACTGACTCAATCAACGACGTTACTACATATGTTGTTGAGACTAGTTGCCGGGGGTAGTCTCCCTCGTGTCACCACTGGATTGGTCGAGATGATATACGTGGGCTCAAGAGGATTCGTCCCTCTCATTGCTGGCAGCCTTCCATCCAGTGGACCCGCGTTGATGTCCTTGGCCGTCTGAGAGGTGGTGACAGTCCACCACTGTGTCACCATGATGTGTGTCACCAAACTCAAGTCTTGTGTACGTAGCTGCCGCGGAGCTCCTCTTTTGATCAAGTCGTTCAACTGCTCCTGGACCGACCTCGTCCTCGCGTACCTTCGAGCATTCGCAGAAAATCTTCGCCGTGAATTTCCCGAGATTCTACTCAATGTCGGACACGTCGTTCGGGTCTCTGATGTAATCCATGTCCGGGATAAGCCGCTTAGGATGGGAAAATTCGATATCTGTCAAGTCAAGTGTCACCGTAAAAATGACTCAATAATTTACCTCGAATATCGTTCGTCACCCTCCCACTGAAGCGTGGAGGTTCTACCGGAACAGTCTCGCATTTCGGAAGTTTATACCTGTGCAAAAAAAACCTCAGAACGCAGTCTATGAGTCTCAGACAAAAAACGCCATACAAGAGACGATATATAATCAAAGAATCATTCAGAAACCTATAATACTCCCCCGGAGGAAACTCATTACGAATTTTTCACGTGGTTTGGAGCACATTCTTAAATCAGTTTCCCATGTAAATGTTATCACATTTTCCCTACTGTTATCGAACGTTATTTCTCAACGCTAAATGAGTCCCTGTCTATGATGGGAGAGGAAGCGTCTCCAGCCAGCAAGCCTATAATACTCACACAGGATTAAGAGGATCGAGAACTCGGTTAGTCTTGAACCTCGTGATTTTCGGTTGAGCCCAATCGATATCTTGTGTAGTGAGAGACAAGTCCCTCGGCCTGTTAACCACAGGCGGATAGTAGGACTTCGATCTCATGCCGGGGATGTCGCATCTGCACAGTGGCAAACCATGATCAGGCTTGGCGCGGCCAGTACAATTACTCACTGGAGACTGAACTCGGGTTTGTCGAGATAGTCCAACCAGTAGTAAGTTGGCTTGCACTTATCGATGTCACCCGTGGTGAGGGAAGCAATCGTATCCTTCACATACAGGGGTTTACCTAAAATTCAGCACAAGTCTTCGTGTGAGATTTGGCAGGGAGAAACCTTGAGGAACATCCTTCGGCTTGATAGTGTCCAAACTCATCGTGTCTTCTCGTCGGGCGAATGAGAGAGTCTCATCTCGGGCATATACCATTTCGAATGATCAATTCTGCCAACCTAGAACGGTCGGTGGGAATCGAACCTGCGACCTCTCCAACACAGTAAACTGATCATCACTTAACATCGTCGATTGAACATGTTCCTATAACAACAGCAGAATCTCATTTTTAGCGATTTCAGAACACAGTTGATCGAGGGCTCATTGGACTAGTCTGATAGACCGATACACATCAGCTCTCCACAGCCCCCTTCACATCCAGGTCTCGGACGTAGATGCTTACAGTTCGGTAAGTCACCGCCGTTTCACTAGGGGTATCCTCGTAAATCATCTGCGGTTTTTCTGCCTCAAACCGTACAAGCCGAACCAGAGGCTTCCTCTTGCACGGATTGCGGAAAGGCTTCCCCGTCATTTCAGCCATAAAACTCTCAAAGTCACCAGCGGCGCGCGCCTTCTGTTTGAGGTCTTCGCAACTCATGCTGAGGTTAATCTGGAGAAAAAAACGATGACCCCCAACTGAAGTAAAATGTCTCACATTGGCTCCTTGTGGCAGTAGAACGATAGAGCCGTCAGGACACGTCGTCGAGGCGGCTACGATTGCACTCGAGTCTTCGTAACGCAGGTCGATCGTCTGATTCGGGTAGCTGGAACTGGACAATGCAACCCTGCATGTGGAGGTGGTATTCTTGGGCGCCGCACACTCTCGGAATAACTGAAAGTTAAGCTCGATAGGAATTCCCACACAAATTCGTGTAGAGATGTACAGGAATCAGTGACAATTTCCAAAAACTTCCTCGGGTTTAACATATTATCACCAACACATGTTGATGACCATGAATATATCTTCCCACACTACAAGCCAGAGACCCATGAACTACTCGTCCCTAACACTTCAATAATGCACAACATCGTCATATCCGACAAGCCTACACACTGACGCTGAACCTTATTTCGCCCGCGGACCGAATACGCCCACAATATGTCACCCGCTCCCTAGGACGACCCAAAAACTAGTGTTATCTACGATTATACTATTGCATATCCCGTCTCGCGACACGGCGAAAATCCAATTCAATGACCGGGAAGACGTTGCTCACCAAAGCTAGGCCCTTCTCCTCGTCATACTCCTCCCTCTCCTTCTCCTGCAGCTTCTCGCAATCCTTCGCCCTCGTCACACGGCTACTATTGCCTTCATTCACATGATGTGCAGCTCGATTACTCCCACCACACGTTGCAGTAACGAGAGTGAAGTTACCAGGGTCGGACGCCTTATACGTGGCTACTGTGAAAGGCGACCGCTCTCCGAGATATATATCACATGCGAGGATCTCTTTGCCATGTTTTCTCGTCCTTGGTGCCGGGACCTGATAAAACAACATCCCAAAGCTTAGCATTCTAACCTTACATGTGAGTTCGAATGAGAACAGCCTTCTAACCTGAACAAGATCCAACAAATGAAAAATTATCCATGACAGTCACCTTACGTTAGGATAACTATGACCAGTCCACCTAGTATAAATAAGGAAGACTCAGAGAAACTGCTGGAGGGCATGACAGACAGACACTGCTCGGAGAAGACTCTTCTCATCCTCGGGGTCAACTCGTCACGTGTGCACTTACACCAACAACGACACACCACACAGCATGACAACGATCAATTCGACTAAGAATGCTGACGAACCTCTCGCTCGACACCACCCGAGGAGGAGTACCCTCCAGCAGAGTAGCTGTATGCTCCTCCAGAGGCGTGATAGCCCTAAAACGATGTGAGGGTGAACGGTGGGGACACTAACCTTACCCCTGGATTCGAGAAGTCGAGGTCCTTGACGTAAATGCTGACGGTCCTGTAGGTCATCATTCCGTTATGCAACTTGGCCGATTCATCGCTCTCGGTCTCAGTCGGGGCCTTCTCTTCGGATGGGGATTCCGATTCACCGTGGCCGTCGCATTGCTCATATAACTAAAGGGACATTCATGTCTTCCTCGCAAGCAATCTTACCGAGTGGAGAGCCTTGCCACTGGCATACTCCTTTCGTTCGGCCTCTTGCAAACCATTGCAGTCCTCAGCTTGAGTCGTTCTAGTAGCAGCCGAAGAACCCAAAGCACTTGCAGAAAGCTTCTTAGCGCCACAGATAGCACTGGTTAGAGAGAACTTGCCATCGCCGGGGCTTTCGTAGGTAGCGATAGTGAAGGGGGAAGCGGCACCAAGGTAGACTTCACAGCTCGTGAGGGCACCACCTTTCATCTTGCCATGGGCCTTAGGAACCTGTAAC